GCAGCCATAGTCCAGGGTTGGACGATTTTCCAAAGACCGAATGGCCGGCTTGAGGTAAATAGAAGGCGAGGAAGCCACAGTCGATAGTTTGAACGGGTTTCCAAAAGAGCCATAGCCGGCAGAAACCCTGGGCGAGACAGCTCTTATGGATGGGTTTGGACAAATTTCCAAAGATGCCAGACGCAGACAGGAGTGCTCCAACGACGGGAAGAGCCATAGGAGAAAGACGCCCCTGCCCAGAAATGCAGTGGTCGACCAGGAGCAAGCCAAAGACGAGGCGGTCTTATTTGAGGGGTTTGGCCGACTTTGAGGCTGCAGTGCCCAGGTAGAAAGAGGTGGCCCAGAGGGAAGTGATAATAGCCAGAGCTCTGTTCATGTGGGAGTGAGGCGGTCGTGAACTGAGAAGTCACGACCGAAGGCGTTCGGACAGCCCCAAATTTGACGCCGAAGGCGTGACGGGAGCCTCATGATGGGCAGGATCCACCGAAGAAAGACCCAGTGGAGAGCGTATGGAAAGTTGAGATATCGCTCTTGCCAGTTTGACAGAGAACGTGGACCGAACTCAAATCACGTGATATGACTTGATCTGGACAAGATGCTCGAGAAGCCTCGTAGCAATAGGATCACGGGGCAGAACAATTGCATAGACGGAAGGTCGAAGAAATGGACAAGCGAAGAAAGGAAACACAGGAAAGAAACTTTTGGACTTACGTTGATCATCACAGCCTTCTGGCCGAGCTCACGGACAGCGTTGGTGGCGCTGACGGCGCACCAATCGAACTCAACGGAGCTGCCAATACGGTAGACACCACTGCCGAGGATGATGGTGCCCTTGTCCTCAAAGGTGACGTCGTGGGACGAGGCGTTGTAGGTGGTGTACAGGTAGTTGGTGTCGGCGGGGAACTCGGCGGCGAGGGTGTCGATCTTCTTGACCCAGGGGCGGATGCCGAAGTTCTTCCTGACGGCGCGGACCTCGTCCTCGGTGCTCTTGACGGCGTTGCCAATCTGCCTGTCGGAGAAACCGAGCTTCTTGGCCTGGAGGACCTGGTCCTTGGTGAGGGCGCTGAGGCCGCCGGCGTCTTGGAGTTCGCGCGTCATGTTGACAATGTTCTCGAGCTTGTAGAGGAACCACTTGTCAATCTTGGTGAGGTCGTGGACCTTGTCGACAGAGTAGTCGTGGTGGAGCATAGCCTGGCCGACGGCGAGCCAGCGGCGGGTCGGTGGGGTTCTGGAGCTCGAAGTCGAGGTCCTCAAAGTGGTCGCCCTGGAAGCCGGCGAACTTGGGGTCGACCTGGCGGATGGCCTTCTGGAAGGACTCCTCAAGGTGCGGCCGATGGCCATGACCTCACCGACGGACTTCATGGCGCTGCCAATGTCGCGCTTGACGTGCTGAACTTGGACAAGTCCCATCGGGAA